CTCAGGCTATTGTGCTAAGTGGACATAACTTTTAGAAGGTGCCATTATGACAAGGGCTAAATATAATAGCTCAAATTTACTGTGAATGAAATGAAGTGGAAGTAGAGCTGCCAGAAGGTGTAATTGACTTATTATTTTTGAAGAGAAAGTGCCATTGTGATAAACGGAGTCAAAACGTGAAATGCTTAAAAACAATGCCATTGCAGCAGATTCACAGATGATACTATGATTGCTGTTATGACATTTGTTCATCATTTTCACGATCAATTGCCGCCAGCCTCAATTGCTTCCCCCGTTAAACAAGTTTTTGTGTCCTTTTCTTTATAACCACGCGTTATACCGTTAATTCCGTTGGCTATTTTTAAAATCTTTTGTTTTCAAGTTAATACCAAAATTTTTTGTTTAAAAATATTCCACTTATAAAAAAGTTTTTAAAAATAAAATTTTATAACGTTTTTAAAAGTAAAATGGTGTTAAGAAGATTAATTAATGATTAATCATTTTTTATGTTTATTTTTATGTTGATTTATTTTTTTATTTATACTAGTACTCTGATTTACCTGATTATTTTGCAAATAAATCAAAATTAAAAGTTAGATATTTGCATAGAAAACTTTTGCTTTTTCAGAGTGTTTACAAACACAAAAGTTGACATTAGCATCGGCAAGCGATCAATCGTGGCTAAGTTTGGCTAATCACTCTTAAAATAGCCTACACACACTTATCAAATGCATTATCTCATCATCTATTCTTAGTTTTGTTGTTTAATTGAATTATCTCATCAGAAGTGCAGAACAAAAGCGTCATTAGAAGAACAGTACTTGAAACTGAAAACTGACATGCCTCTGCTTAAGTTTGCCCATCGATTTATCCTCGCTAATGTATTCAATGTTCTGTGGTTTCCCGTCGTCGTCTGCTAACATCTTTATTAACAGAAGCTCGATGCATCACACCACACTGACGATGCACAAAAAACTGATCAATGGCCAATTTGCTGACAGCATGTGATCAATGTTTAGTGACTTTGAGTGACCACTGATTTAGGCAGTTGTACATACATTTCTACATTTAAACAATTGGATAATTAAAGCACTTGAGTATTTTACTCAACAACTCAAGAGTAAAAAAATTAACTGGTATTTAAAACAAATATTTGTCGATAATTGTTTTCAGTCACGTAAGTTTAAACAATGACTTGTTTAGCACACTGACCGAAAAAGCGCAAAGCAGAACTAATGCAATCGACTGACCATTGTTTTTGGCAAATCAAATCAAATTACTTTTAGGTGACTTTCTATTTTAGATGTGCATGTAATTTTAAAAAATCGTTAAATATACACAATTATAAAAATTTTATTACAGATATTAAAATTTATTTGGAAAAAATTCATCATTTATACCAAGTTCATCAGTTTCTTCAAATGAAAAGCATAATACTTTTAAAAATGATTTGCTTTTAAACAAACTTTTTGAAAACAGTAAAACCGCCAAAACCATTTACTAAGCAAGTGTAAAAATTTAAATTTAGCTACCAAAAGGGGAAAGAGAGTCTAAGCGATTTTTCGGAATGCAGAGTATTTTTTGTTTTGCCTATGTTGAGTTGCTTTCGTTCAGTTTTAATGCAAGTCGTTTTGTCGGTCAACACACTGCTTGCGCAGGCATTTTATGTCATAGCAGACAGACGGTCATTTGCCTTGATCAAAGCTTCCATCATCACTAACTCAACCATTAAGTTCATTCAGATAAATGAAACGTTATTAAAAAAAGATAAAAAAGAAAAACTCAGTCTATTCAAGTGCAGCTAACTGAAAAAATAAAAAAGCAAAGAAAATATTTTTTACAAAATAATTCAATATGTAGCAAATCTAATTTGTTTATTTGTTTAAAATAATAATGTTGATGATAATAACAAAAATGTAAAAATAAGTTTGCTAATTTAAAACTGCAAACAGCAGCAAAAAACAACAACAGTAAAAGAAAAAACAGGCAAGTACAATGTTTCAATAAAATTACCCTAAAAAGTTTTCTGCAATTTTTCAAACCTGTTCTTTATGATAAAGTTACAACAACTCATTCATGGCTAAGCATCATTGCAAACCCAAACAAAGTGTACACAAGTTTAATCGCATAAATCATCGACCAGGCAAATCCATCCCGTGCACCGAGTATCGTTTATGCGCCTTAACCGGCAGTTCCGCTCATCAAGTGCTAAACAAAGAGCCATCAGATTAATCTGCTGAGCTTGATCTCGTCGTGAAAGACCTTTCTGTGAAAATGAACGGCTAGTGAAAGAGAGAAAGGCAACAGAGCCCACTTAGTGGTGGGAAGATGTTCACTAATGTTTCGGAATTTCATTACAGCTTAGCGCATCTCCAGTGTAATTATGTAAGAGCAAGTATGGTCTAAAATTAATGCCGCCGCAACAGTATTGCCTTTTCACTTGACAAGAGATCATTCTCTCTCCCTCTCCCTTTCTGTTGCATTTTTAGTTGCCGTGAACACGAATAGCATCACGCAAATCTGAGATGTGAGATGTGTATCGACGGTGAGGACGAGGTCAAGCAGACCTAGGCTAACTAAAAAGGCTAACTTTGCTCCGTATTAGCTCTGTCCTTAATAGCAATGCAGACAGATAGATTTGCCCACAAGTGAGCACTGAAATCACTATCACTTTTGTTCATCTGCTGCAAACAGAGAGGCAGGTTGTACTGCTGCTGCTGCTTATCAACAGAGATGATCAGCAGACGCAGAGAGCATGCCTCCAAGTAAGAAAATGATAATCACCGGCTCTGGTTATGGCAGCACTTTTGCTGATAAGTTGACAACTTGTTGCAGCCATGGTNCTTAATAGCAATGCAGACAGATAGATTTGCCCACAAGTGAGCACTGAAATCACTATCACTTTTGTTCATCTGCCGCAAACAGAGAGGCAGGTTGTACTGCTGCTGCTGCTTATCAACAGAGATGATCAGCAGACGCAGAGAGCATGCCCCCGAGTAAGTAAATGATAATCACCGGCTCTGGTTATGGCAGCACTTTTGCTGATAAGTTGACAACTTGTTGCAGCCATGGTCTCTTCAACTGTGTGAGCATTTTTTAGCAACCATACCTGAGCACATGCTCTATCAAGAGTATCAACAGAAAACAGAAGCTACCACTTCTCACTGTTCACTTTTCAATTTATGTCGTTCTTGTTTTTTGCTGTCAACGGGTATTTGCGAGTAGCAATAATAACCACAGCAGTAACCACTGGAGAAAGACAATGCAGAAGGTGAGAGCACGATGAGAAGAGCAATGAGAAAGAGAGAAGATAAGTGCTCGGCACGACCGTCTGCCCAATTACCTAATAACGGAGACTAGGCGTGTCTGCTGACCACTCACTCACTGACTCGTTCAGTGCAACTGCGGTTCACTTGCCTAACCGCAGTGTCCCTCTCCGCTGCATCATCGCATAGCATCATGTCCCCAAACACCGCCAAAGTTGTGAGAGGATGCGGTGTGATCGCGGTGTCGTCGCTGTCTCTCACTGCCTGCACTACTCTTCTCAGACGGTTGCGTAAAGACAAATTAAAGAATTGTCAGTGGCATCGGCCGGTTTGCCAGTGCTACTGCTGTTGCTGCTCTTGGCTACCACTGTCGTCCCTTTCTGCTGGCCACCGTGTTGCTGTGTCAAGCAGTGCTTGCACATTATCAGTTGTCCCTCATTCATCAGCTGGTCTCTCTCTCTCTCGCTTTCTTCAAACGATGCCATTCTCCACGCTCTACACACCGTCGAGGATATCCTCAATGAGGCCGGACTAGTGACCGAGTAGTGGCTGCAGCCAGTGATGCCGTTTTGGACGGCACGGAAAGCACTGCCTCCGAGTGGCTGCCGCCAGCCTAAGAATGTGTCCGGTCGGACAGCAGTCAGTGGTCATACACACCGACAGCCATCAGCAGCAGACAGACATCGGCAAGACACACTGACACACTAATAATAACCTGCGATGAAGAGTAGATACAAAGTGAGAGTACACACATCGTCGGTGCTTATTAGCCAGTGCAGATGGTGAGAGTGATAGAGACTGAGCCAATGAGCAGAAGTAAAGAGGGAGCGAGAGAGTGAAAGAGAGCAAGAGCTAAGAGAAAGTGAGATTACCCAGTGGTAAAAGTGACCACCGAAATGATGGCGATGGTGAGCAGCCGGCCAGTCGGAGAGATGCTCAGTGCTTCAGAGTGTAAGTGTCGCTGTCGTTCGGATGCCGTTGCACTTGAGTGGACCGAACAAGCCACCAATGGCGCCGTCGCGCATCGAAGCCCCTCAAGAAGTGGCAGCGGCTGCCAAAAATCGCCAATACTATCCCACCTGATCGACTGGCCCACCGTCCGACTGACTGACTGACTGACCAGTAGTCGATCACACACTCGCACTCGCTCTCTGCTCAACTGCCCGACATCACTTAACCTCCAGCACCGGCGGCGGATAACATCGATCGACTTTTGTGCTTTTTCGTTCGACGTCTTTATCAGCTCTGTTCACTTTTACCACCACTAGCCATAGTTGTAATCTTCCTCGACAAGTGACAACTTCTGACGCCATGTGACCCCACACCGACCCCTGGCACCAGTCACCGGCACCTACGCTATGTCAGCGCTGACAGTGTTGAATCTGTCAAATAACGGCAGTGATGCTGCCCACTACCGTCGATGATGAGCAGCAGAATACAAAGCACCGGCATTGAGAGCAACACAATAGCATCGATTAGTCTGTCTGTCAACAGCCATGTCCATCACAGTGGCCACCATCGGCGCCGTGATGCCCACCTGACGGATGTGAACTTGCCTCCTCACCGTTCTTCTTCACATTTCAACCCTGAACTTTATCTTTCTTCTCACACACGCTCTCGCTGTGTCATTCCGTGTGATATATTGACGTAACCACAGTTTATTTCTACTATTTTTAAACATTGTGTTTTATTTTTGCTAATAATTTTGTTATTGTGAAAAACTTGACTATCAAAATGTGGAGCATTTTAAAACTGAACGCTCTCCTTCCGGCAATTATTCCCTGGATTGTCTTCTTTACTGTGCACAAGCAAAAACAAGATGAGCCTTTCTTCAGAGAATACTTTGATCGAGAATATGACTACATCGTCGGTAAGAAAAACTGAAACAATGTATTTTGATACTATTCATTTATTAAAATTAGGATAGTTTCAATTTTTACAAAAATATAAAAACTTACTCAGGTGGCGAAATCTTAAAAACGTTGCTGTTTTTTGAAAATTGTTAAAAAATGCCTGTGTGTTTGTGTGTTTGAGCTGATTCAAAAAATCAATCNTACTATTCATTGATTAAAATTAGGATAGTTTCAATTTTTACAAAAATATAAAAACTTACTCAGGTGGCGAAATCTTAAAAACGTTGTTTTTTGAAAATTGTTAAAAAATGCCTGTGTGTTTGTGTGTTTGAGCTGATTCAAAAAATCAATTTTTTTAATAGAAAAACACAGTGCTATAAATAGCAACTGGTAGTCAGCTTGTTTTCAGTCTTCAACATGCAGAATATTATGTGTGTCTGACGAGTGTAGCATCCACCTAGTCGTGCATCTTCTGAGTCAAACTATCAGACACACTATCACCTCACTTTTCTCTTTACTTTCTCCCCTTTTTTCTCATCACTGCCATCTTCTTATTTTTTTCCTCTTTTCTTGTCAACACAACTCGCCAATCGATTACACAACACCACACTGTCGATACTATTCTTGGCATTTTTGAGATCCACTGTTGATGCAACAGCAGCAGCTTTAGTTTCCGATAGCAGCTAAATCAAAACCAGAGAGAGAGAGAGAGAGAGAGAGAGAGGCAGACGCACTGCATCATTTTCTTCTTTGTTGTCCAATTAAACTTTAATTTCTGCAGTCAACGCGTGCCCTGCACTGCACCGGTCAACAAGGGAGAGAGTAATCAAGAGAAGAGTGAGTGTGGGGAAAGTAAATCACGATTTTCACTGCACCCTATCCTTTGGTCAGTGTTGCGCTCGTTTCATTTATTTAAAGATGGCAAATAGTCAAATGGCGTGTCTGAGGGCATTGTTGGTCTGCACTGTGGAGGCACTAGCTTTCTTTAGTGCACTGCCTGATTAAGTCCACATGCAAGTGGTGCCTTCCACCGATGAAGATGATGCCTTCAAATTGGTAGTTTTGTCTGTTGGAAATAAAACGAGGCACAATAAAATTGAGGCTTTATATTTTTGCATGATCGACACTATTTCGTGATCCATAATGTTGTAGTAAAAGATTTTTCGCTGTGCATTTGTCTGTGTAAAAATTAAGNGCAAGTGGTGCCTTCCACCGATGAAGATGATGCCTTCAAATTGGTAGTTTTGTCTGTTGGAAATAAAACGAGGCACAATAAAATTGAGGCTTTATATTTTTGCATGATCGACACTATTTCGTGATCCATAATGCTGTAGTAAAATATTTTTCGCTGTGCATTTGTCTGTGCAAAAATTAAACTAATTTGTGCTTTAAAACTTTCACTTGCAGTTGGCGCCGGCTCCTCTGGTCCAGTGGTGGCCAACAGGTTATCGGAAGACCCCAAAGTGAAAGTACTTCTTCTGGAAGCAGGCGGCTATGAGGTGTACCAGTCGGAAATACCCATGCTGGCAGCACGACTGCAGCTGTCAGAGTACGACTGGCAGTACAAAACGGAGCCTCAGAAGTACGCCNGAAGACCCCAAAGTGAAAGTACTTCTTCTGGAAGCAGGCGGCTATGAGGTGTACCAGTCGGAAATACCCATGTTGGCAGCACGACTGCAGTTGTCAGAGTACGACTGGCAGTACAAAACGGAGCCTCAGAAGTACGCTTGTCAGGGCATGAATGAGCACCGCTCCAACTGGCCTCGAGGCAAGATTCTCGGCGGCTGCTCGACGATGAACTACATGCTCTACGTGCGCGGCAACAAAAAGGACTACGACATTTGGGAGAGCTACGGCAACTACGGCTGGGACTGGAAGGGAGTCTTTCCGTACTTTGTCAAGTCGGAGGACAATCGAGATCCGGCTATTCTCAAGAATGGCTATCACGGTGAGTGCCGGTGACGTGTGGTAGTAGTGCGTACGTGTTCTCATTGTGCACCGACTGACCGATTCCCTTAGGCTTCAACGGACCGTTAACGGTGTCGACGACGCACTACACCACGCCAATCGGCGGTGCATTTCTCGAGGCGGCCAAGCTACACGGATATCCGAATATTGACATTAACGGAGCACGGCAGACAGGTTTCGCCGTCCCACAAGGAACTGTCCGGCGGGGGGCGCGCTGCTCCACTGCCAAAGCCTACCTCAGAGACTACCGCCACCGGAAGAACCTGCACACAGTCATTTATGCACATGTGACCAAGGTGATCATTGACGACAATAAGCGAGCAGTCGGTGTCAAGTTCAATCGAAGGGTAAGGCAAATACATAAATTATCTGGCATTTCATACTAACTTTTTGCACAACTCTTACCACAACTGCAGGGTCTCGATCACGTGGTGTACGCCCGTCGTGAAATAATCCTCTCTGCGGGCAGCATCAATTCACCTCAGCTGCTGATGCTCTCCGGCATTGGTCCTCGTTACCACCTGGAATCGCTTGGCATTCCCGTCGTCGCTGACCTGCCTGGCGTTGGCCAAAATCTCCAAGACCACATTGGCGTTGGTGGTCTTCAGTTTCACATCGATGCACCGGTGTCTGTGGTGCAGCCACGCGTTTACGTGGCCAAGTCCTTCACCCAGTGGGTCACACTGGGCATCGGTCCGCTTACGATGCTAGGCGGCCTGGATGGCATTGGCTTTATCAACACCAAGTACGCCAATGCCAGTGATGATTTTCCTGATGTGGAGATTCACTTCATTCCCAGCTGTCCGTCTTCGGACGGCGGCGAATCAGTTCGCAAGGCGATGAACCTCAAGTCAGCGCTTTTTCAGAAGGTCTACTCGCCCTTCCTCTACGAAGACACATACGCCTACTATCCAGTGTTGCTAAGACCTAGATCCGTTGGATGGATGAAATTAAGGTCAGCAAACCCCTATGATCAGCCTATAATTCAGCCAAATTGTAAGTCTACAGCAGTCTTAAGCCATACTCTTTATCTAAGACACTGTCTTCTTTTGCAGATCTCTCCGACCCATATGACGCCAAAGTGCTCGTCGACTCACTCAAAATTAGCATTAAAATGGGCCTTTCAAAGCCCTTTCAAAAATTTAAAACCCGAATCTGGTCCCGTACGTGGTACGGCTGTGAGAAGTACCGTCCGTACAGTGATGAGTACCTCGAGTGCCTGACTCGCTCCTACACTGCCACCATCTACCACCCGGTGGGCACTGCCAAGATGGGCCCGCCCACTGATCCTCTGGCAGTGGTCGACCCTGAGCTGAGGGTGTACGGCGTCAAGGGACTGCGTGTCATTGACGCCTCCATCATGCCCAAGATCGTCTCCGGCAATACAAACGCACCCATCATAATGATCGGTGAGAAAGGCGCCGACCTGATCAAGGGTCGTCTCTACCCACCCAACATTGCTCCCGGGTACGCCCCGGTGCCTGACTATCTGACGAATCCGGCAAAGGAGAAGCACGCTGCCAAGGGACCGCTCAGTCACTTAGGAAACATTTTCGGAAAATTCAACTTTTTAAAATTTTAAATTTTGCTTCTCTCTTTTCACAACTGATTCAGCTCTCACCGAATCAGCAACGCCAAATTCCACTCCTGTACATACTGCTTTTCCCGATTCTTTCCTTGACTTTTTCTTTACTTCTTTTCTTCTTATCATTTTTTATCTGCTACCGTCAAATGGCTGATCTAGGTCGTAGCAACACTGGACAGTGGTGGTCTGCTGTACAGCCACCTACTCACTCACTTACCCACCAATCTGGTCACTTTTTCATACTTTGCCTTTTTTAGGGTTTTCTATTTCCATTTTTTTGTATTTAATAAATCTGTTTTATTATTATAACTTCAAAGTATTGACTATTTTTTAGCATTACGCTCTTTGTAGTGGACTAGAGACATCTCACGAAGTCGCTCAGCAGCCTGCAGACAAAAAACACATGATTAGTAACTTTAATTAAATCAAGACATTTTTATCTGCGCAAACCTTTTCTGGACTTAAATCTCTTTGTTGCTGCGCTAGAAGCTCATAACCAACCATAAACTTTTTTATCGTTGCTGATCGAAGTAGCGGAGGGTAGTAAGAAGCATGAAGCGTCCAATAGGGCCGAGGTTCGTCTTTGTATGGTCCAGTAGGTGCACCTAAATTAAATGAATTGTTACAGAAAATAATTTAAAAGACTACTGTTTTTTACCATGCCATCCCATAGAGTAGGGAAATGAAACTTCAAACAAATTGTCATATCGAATAAGCAGTCGCTTCATGATTGAAGCCAGAGATTCCTTGTCAGTTTCGCTTAGCTGACTAATGCGTTGAATTGATCGTCTTGGCAGAATCATCGTTTCAAAGGGCCAAAAAGCCCAAAATGGAACCAAAACGACCCAGTCGTTGTTCACTTCCACAATTCGCTCACCTAGAGCTAGCTCCTGTTCGACGTAATCTATCAATAGCTGACGACCACCAGTTGACTGATAGTATTCTCGTTGGTTTTTGTCTTCAGTGTTGGCTTCATTTGGAATGTAGTCACTCGACCAAATCTGACAATGAGGGTGCGGATTGGAGCAACCCATGATGGCACCTTTGTTTTCAAAGATCTGCACCCAAGCATACTTGGAGCCAAGAAGTTTGTATTCGTTGATCCACTGATTCACTACTACGACAATTTCCGGTTCAGTCATTAGTGGCAAAGAGATGTTTGACTTTGGATGGAAACACATCACTCGGCATTTCCCTTTAACAACTCTCATTTTGAAAAACGGACTTTCGGATTTCTCAATGATATCACGCGTTTTTTCTTCTAGAAATGGGTGATTAGTTTCGTACTCTTCCTGAAGCGCCGGAAAGTCGTTGTCAAAAGAAAAAGTGCCCGTGTAAACTGGGTTCACCTCTCCATTGCCACGTTTGGCACCAGGACACAGTGGGTTAGTTGGGTCGTGCTCTGCCACCTCTTCATCTCCTCTGTGTTCAATCTGTCCTGACCAGGGACGTTTCCTGAAATAAAAACCAAAATAAACATCTTTTGAAGCCTACTGTTAATCAAGCTTACATTCGATGCGGTGAGACTAGGACCCACTGGTCAAGCAATGGGTTGTACCGATTATGGGCATAATCTGAAAAGTAAATACACTGTTAACACACGTTTTTGCACAATGCAGTTTTTAACTTACCGACAGTGCCATAATCTTTGGATGGAAACTTGATGTTGTTTTCACTCATGATTAACTTTCACAAAAAACTTCTTAAAATGGCGTTTTATAAGAGGTTGTCTGTTCAATTACAAGTTTATTAAATTAAAAATCATGTTACAAACAAGTAATATTGTTCATCAAGAAAGCACTTACAACAACTGTAGATAAATAAAAGTCAGCAGTGACTGTTGATTGATGAAATGTCACGTCCTAAAACAGTGACAACAACAGAAGCACAGCTAGGTGAGTGGTTCAGTTAATTGAACGACAGATTTGCCTTCTTATCAATGGTCGATACACGGCGCTCCATCGTCCCATTTTATCACCAAGAAATTGGCAGCCGATTGAGCGGCAAAGGACAACACCAGGGAGAGTACATGAGCCAAAACAGTGAATGCGCGCATGTTTGCCACATGTCTCTCTATTGATTGCTTTGGATGAGAGGCACGCTGGAAAATGTGTCCGCTAGTTGCGGCCACTTTTGGGCTCCACCAGTGGGCACATTTATGAAACAGCACAAACTCACCTCGCCATAAGGCACCGAAGCAGAAAAAGGACACGGTCATTTCACTAACAGACGCTGCTGTTTCTGCCACTGGAAGCTGACTGAAGCTCTCAATGCACACTGACTTTCATGGACAAATATTAAGTAGAGCAGCTGTGCTAAATGAAATGTGCCCAGTTTCATCTGTCATTGACTTCTTTTAATTTTAAATCTAAGATTTTATTGAAGCATTTACAAGTAGTGCAGCTGCACCATATCCCAGGCATATTCTAGCAGAGCCATCGTTTGGAAGAGCAGCCAAATGACTGCTAGCCAGAAGGCAATCAGTCCGCCCATATCAGCCAGCAACTTTGTATTGTCCAACAAGGGAAACTGCTCCACCTCAATGTCAGGGGCAATCTTCCTTTGAATAGTCACTTGAATAGTGCTGTCCGTGGCGTCAGTTTCCACCGAGTCTTCCATCGTTTCGTGCTGCACATCCACTGTCTCACAGTCATCGGGGCAATCCTTATCGCACTGGTCGAGTACTGACTGAATCAGCGATACTTCGTCCACATTGGGGCAATCTTCAGGGGTAGTGAAGCAGATTTTGTCTCGATTCAGCTGAACGAGATCTCTTCTAATAGGAATCTGATGTGAGATGCAGTTCTCCTGTTTTGGACAGTTGCGCGCTTGTCGAATTTTAGCCTGTTCTCGTAGCATGCATCTATCTACGCAGTCTTGACGAGAGATGACCAAATCGAGTAGGTTTTTCGACATTCTCAATTCTTCAACTTCCTCTGCATTTCGGCTACTGTAATTGTGGCAGCCAAAGAAGTACCACTGATTGACTGGGTTGTACGTTTTGAGGTAAAAGTACTGAATTTTGTACTGATGATTAAGCTCCAGTTTGACCGGCGACCCAACCAAATCAATGGGAATTTGGTCGGCAGTGTGAATGAACAGTTCGGGTTGCAGTGACTGGTCAGAGTCGCCGACGGGGACACGGTTAGACTGAATGAGTAAACTAATGTAGACGTCCTTGTAGTCGACAATAGAGTTGCCCTCCTGTCCGTCCTGAATTGGATTGCGAAAGACGGCTGTTTCGCTGAGGTAGGTGTAGCAGCGTTTGTTCCTGAAGTACGACTCAATGGGCGGTGAGATGATCGCACAGGAGGAGGATTTGAAACCAGTGCTACTGCTGCTGCTGCCTCCTCCACTACCACTCGTCGGTGGCGACTTTTTCCGGTATCGAACTCGACACTGGTGGCCGTACTCACTGAGAGACTGGTTGAACAGCGCTGATATGAGCAGTGTGTTGTCGCACTCTGCTCGACTCGCAGAACCAGCCGTACTTTCAGTGTCCAAGTCGTGGTCCAGACTTTTGACACATTTTTGGTTTTGTTCGTGGAAGGGAATGATGACTGGAAGACAGAGGGTGAGAGAGGGAAATTCTATCTCAGTTGGCAGACGGTAGGTGACTGAGGAGTGAGAGAAATTCCTGAAACAGATTCAGTTACTGTTACTTGTTTAAAGTAAGTTAGAAACTTAGAAACTTACTTTCTATACAAACTGTAAAGCTGGAAACAATGAATTATTGCTTGAATGATGCAAAACAACACAAAGAACAATTTTGCCCACTGAATACATGTCAACTGACGAAGGATTTGCAAAAAAATGTTTGACTTGTCTAAATTTGGGTCAAGATGAGCTCTCCAGAGCGGAATTCGAATTGGCTCAGGAGGATGTGGATATGGACATTTCTGATGACGGTGATGATGGTGATGATGGCCGTTTAAGTGGTGATGGCTGTGGTGACATCGGTACTCCGAAGTATTGTAGTCCACCTGGCAGTGAGAGGTTTCAAACATTCTCGATAATTGGCAAAGGACATCAAATTTCACTCACCTCAAATGACACTGTTGCCAAATCAAACTTTACCTTTTTTCCCGTCTGATCATGTTTATCAATTTGACGGGTAAATTGATTGATGGCAGCTAACTTGGGCGCGACTTTGTTCATTACCGAACGAAAAGAAACCATAGCACGCGAGACTACAATTCTTGAGGATACATCAACAATATTGTAAATCACTTCTAGCGTTTCAGACAGCCAACAAATCACATTTAAATTTGTTTTATCATTTTTGATGAGAAAACAAGAAGCAATTGTTTTTTAGAGACAAAAATAGGACACACACATTTTGTTCGGTGTACTTAAACGATATTCAAATACTCGCAAATGGCGAGTGGACAAGTGTTTCCATCAAAGTAAAGTGAAGCATTGAACAGAAGCAGCAGCAGCAGCAGCAATGTCCAGAAGTGACTGTCCAGACCTGAGTCCAAACTTTCGCCTAGCACCAGGTTATTTTTAGATTAACTCTTGCTCACTAACTCTTCTGTTGGCCTGTTTTTTCCTTCACTTCTCTTTAAGTCCATTAGCAATGAGTGCCTAATTAGTATTCACGACAAGGCATTGAATATTAGTGCCCCTAAACAGAGAGAGAGAGAGAGAGAGAGAGAGAGAGAGAGAGAGAGAGAGAGAGAGAGAAAGAGAGAGAACAGTGGTCACCTGAATATTCCCCGACGGTTCAGTGCACTGTTTTTTTCTGGTAATGTCACAAATGAAATAGACAGTCAGAGCAAAGAGTGCCAGTGAGAGAGAAAGTGACACCGTCAGATAAACAGGGTTATTGTCGGCGCACTTTGCAATTGCTTTTGAAGTTTGAATTCATTACTGCGCTTTGAAGTAAAACATTTCCTGGTGAACACTGAAAAATGAGGAGGTGGACATTTGCTGTCTCAACTGGGGGAGGATCACTTCAGTAGACTTTGATTATTAAAGGGGATCATAGTTTGTCATACTATGCTTACTTTTGACAAACACTTAATCAGTTTGACATTTGTTGTAATGAACGTTTAGGTTTTTAAAATGCACAAAAATGTCATAAAAGTTAAAAAGTTAAAACTTTTTAAATTAATTTTATTTAAAGGCAATTAGTTTTTACAATGTTATCAAACAAAAATGAAGTTGTAGTATTGTTTTGCGTACAGCAATTATTGATGTTTCATGTTACGAGCACAAACTTGGATGGTTTTTTATGAAAAAATTGTTTGTGTTTGGTCATTTAATAGAAATAAAATGATCATCATTATGCTTTGCAAATATTGGAATACTGTGGCCCATTGGCGACTATTTCCTGGTCAGCAGCAAGGAGTGTGCACCTTGCAACTCTGAGCATTTTCGTAAAGACAAATGAATATAAATACAGTTGATTGCTGTTTGACTTTTGGTCAACATAAATATGGGCGTGTTAATGAAGTAGGTGTCAGGTAAATGTGTTTGAAAGAACGTAATTACAATGGTATGGTGTGCTTGTGCTGTGATACTTCTTTTGGTGCCAAAGAAGCGTATCCCGAAGACGAGCAAACTGTTGATAAAAGCAATGATTCTGCCTGCCCGTGGCAAGCATTCTCTTTGCAGAAATGTGATCGCCTAATTACACCTATGCTCAATGACTTTTGACCGGCATTTATCACACTTGACATTACAACACCACACAAACTTGCAGTTGCACTTGGCTTCGATTTCCCGCTCAATCGTTCGATAGCCGCGACCACAGCAGAGATATCTGCATCCGTCCAGACCATAGCTGGTGGCATTACAAATGCGATCAGTCGTCCCTTGTGCACCGATGCTAAATAGAAGTTGGTTAGTTAGCAAAAACAAATAACAGAGATTTANCTGCATCCGTCCAGACCATAGCTGGTGGCATTACAAATGCGATCAGTCGTCCCTTGTGCACCGATGCTAAATAGAAGTTGGTTAGTTAACAAAAACAGATAACAGAGATTTGGTCAGAAAGTCATACGTCACATTCTTGAAACAGAAATCTGGCGATTCTTCCAAATATACGAGATCCTTTTTGCTGGGTTTTTTGACGTTTTTCTGCGCCGGCCGTAGACGGCTGCGCTTTTTGCGACTCTCAATGACCTTGACGTGCGTCGCCCCGTCGAAACGTGCACTCAGCTCCATGCCCACCTCGCGAAAAGGCTTCATCTTCCTCCAACACACCTTGATTGTACACGAACCAGACATGCCGTGACACTTGCAAATTAGCTCCATTTTCGATTTGATCACCTGCGCCCGATGATTTGGTGCAAAAAAGAATTGAGAAAAAAGTACACAAGTATGTAATAAACGGCACAGGCAATAACAAAATAACCAAAACCCACTAATTTCGCTCTAAACCCAGTTCACCAGTTTTATCTGCGCTGTTTTCTGCCGTCGCCTCCGCCCAGAAACTGAAATTAATGGCCCATAAAATGGAACGATGGCTCTCTGGCTAAGCTCTCTCTCTCTCTCTCTCTCTCTNCTCTCTCTCTCTCTCTCTCCCTCTCTCTCTCTCTCTCTCTCTCTCTTTAATCATGTGGTTCACCGGTGAACAGTGGTGTTCATGCAGGCCATTGCCTTCCCGTTCAGTAATTACCCTTCGTCCAACTTCGTTGTTGTGCAGATTGACCATGCCTTCAGCGGTGGTGGGATCCTCCACTGAATCGATGAACTTCTTGGTGAACTCTGCCCCATAGTGAATGTCATCTGAGCATCCACCCCATTCCCACTTGTTCTGCACATCCTTAGAGCGTATCTTCTCATCACAACCACACTGAGACATTTCCCCTTTGGTGCAGGCTTTGGTGATGCTGTAGAGGACGCCTGCTGTGGATATTGCGTGAATAAACGCCTTTTCGCGGCTGTCTGTTTTAGGGAGAAAAAACAGAAAATGTAAAGCTTTTAGTTACAAAAACACAAAAAGTCTTACTGATATCGAGAACAGGCCCAAAAACTCGAGCTCCTTCGGCATCGTAGGTGGAGCAATTCCATCGGTTCATCTTGAACTGGTACTGGCACTCGTCAATGCCAATGCGAGCTCCTCGGCCAATGGCATTGATGACATTGTGATGCAGGCCGCAGATTTCCTGTTGAATTTCAGTGAGAAACTTCACTTTCTTACAGTTTTCTTTGAATGTTGAAGGGTTTATCTCCAGATACTTGGCGTAGTTTCGACGAGTTCCCAAAATCCTAAAAATGAAAAAAGCATAAAGAATAATTTACATAAAATTGCTGTTACAAAATTTGTTTTTAATAGAGCTTAAATAAATGATCACCATTAAATTGAAAAGTTTTAAAGTAAAGTAAACAAAATGCTTTTGCTAATGAACTCATTTACTGACAGAATATCTGCTTTTCATTAAAAGTCCTTTTACTTTCAATATTGGCTCACTTAAAGTAGCTCATTGAACACAATTCTCTGCCTAAAGACAAAAGAAAAAGATGTAGCAGATAAAAGTGGGCCCCATAAAAAGTCTGACTCATCAGCTTTGCGGTAAATGGGCCATGTGATTCTCTGGCTGGCTGCTCCAATTTGTCGAACCCAACTTACTCTGCTCAATCGCTGATTGCTGACCATTTCTGCCTGCTGCCATTTAACTGTCGACTTCCAACTCGTTATAATAAGCCATAATCGTTAGGGCAAAGACTACGGCAGTCTACAGCGGTGCTGGATGCACCAAGTTGGGCATGCAATTCGGGCAACACGTTCGCTCAAGTGCCCAGGCACTGCTGCAGCCTCCTAAGCTTGTTATCCTTAGTATTTATTTTATTACAACCTCGTAAATTGCCATTAACTAGTGAAAGAAAAGTAGAGCGCTTTCGAGAAAGTTAGGAAAAGTACCCAACTGGCGTGTGCATCCACTAGTGTGTGTGCCATTGGTGCGCCGATTGGCCACGGACTGGGGCTATTGGGGCCGATTAAATAGACCCATAAAGCTGTGTCTGCGAGTGTGCCTGTGTGAGCCAGTGAACTGTGCCCGTCTCACTTGCACACGACAGCAGAATGGACGGCTTTTATGGGCAATTAGAATTGAGATAATTTATGTGCCACACATTCAGTTGTTCATTCACAACCGCTTCACTAGCTTTTCAAATTTTACAATGCTCTCTATGTGTTTCGACTTTGAATTGCCACAAAACAAACGAATGACGATTAGAATTGACTTGACTTCCTGGGGTCGTGAGCAGGTGACGCCAGAAACGGCCAGAGCACACTGAGTTTGTGAGCACTTACCACCAGTTGGACTTATTGGCGTTATTGTTCACATCGTGAATAGTGGTCGACGTAGAGATGATGGTCGTCTCATTCTGGTTAGCTTCAGGCGTCTGTGGGAGACCCGATGATTGAGCAATAGAAAAGAAGCGAGGTATTGACAGTGGAACTGTCGCAGAAGAGGAAGACGTCGTTGCTTTAAATGGTGATTTTGAAGGTATAGGGCGGTCAATGTTGATTGGTGCTGGAATAATGGTCATTGTGCCACATTGTGACTGCTGAATGTAAAAGAATGTAGTCAACGCTAAGATATACAAAACCCAGCTCTTTTGAGTGTATATCAGTTTTAGAAAATGGTTAAAAAGTGCAAGAAGATTCGTGGACAACATTTTTAAATGAAGTTTTTTTGCAAAACAAATGTACAGAAAAAATGTAAAAAATAAACAACAGGCGCGCAGATGCCACAGAATCAAGAAACAAGTGTTATTTCACTTATGAGCAGATGGTTTTAAATTTAGTAAAAAGAAGTAGAGGACAGTTAACTTTCTTTATTTCTAAAGTTTGCAGAAGGTCATGTAGAAGTGTTCAATCAAATGTGTTGGCACATATATTTAATTTAGCGAAACCAGTCACATATTTACCGGTTCAACTGATGCTTAAACTGACATTTTAAAGTTGTGAAATTAACATACAGTCAATGGGTAGTGTCCTCTTTGCCGTCCTTTCCGACAGACCATGGAAGAAAGAAAGAGAGTGGAAGTGTGTGCGATGTGCAATACCGCCGGACAATGCTGGCACTGACAAGGAGCGTGTGTCTGTGTTGGCGTCTTATTTCAAAGTTGGCGGGCAGTTGACTGGTGCCAAAGGCACAGGCGCTTCCTTGACTCGGGAGTAGCTGCTGCCTGTGTCAGAGGTGCACTTCGGAGGGTTGGGCGTACAGCGGACAGGCACAGAGTAATGTGCACATGTGCACGGACAGAACACACGCCAATTAGACATGGTCCCACTGCAGCAGCAGCAGCAGCACACTTCTGCCTGCCTGCCTCTTTGCCAATTGAACGCCATTTCACAGACGAATCAAGTCAATTCCTAATGCTACTAGTCAGGTATATGCTCCAGATCGTCTTCTACTTCTTCTTCTTTTGGTCGACAGCTCTTTCACATCGGTCATTGTCTTTTGGCGCACAATTTTAAGGTGTGTCCACCTACTGCAAATTTCCTATTTAGGCATCACTTTATACTCACGTGCAAACTTTCTTTGCAAAAACAAGAAAGTCAGCGCTTAGTTTAAAAGTATATAAAATTGTTTGATGAAACAGTAACTTGCTATATATTGTGATTTGCCGGCAGAGAAAAGTCCGACTATTTGTCAACACTGTAAATCAAACAAACAAAATGTTATAAATGACATGTACTACTTAGGGCGAGATAAGAACAGACATCTTCTTGTTGCTAACTGTTAACCGTGCATACAGAGGTGCGTCTTATCAATAGCAACACTTTTCCCCTCCTTTCTCAAATACAGCTTTCATTTGGCTTCAACTGCTATAAGCTAACAAAAACCTACTTTTGATACAATTTTTACCGATAACTACTGAAATTGTGATTTTTTCAGAAATGGATTCGACCAAAAAAGTTTCTGAAAAGGTAGAAATACCGATTATCATTGAAAAAACGGAACAACAAAGGACCATGAGTCAAATACTTCAGCTGGTCAACATGGACAGCTTTACTGATTTGGGAATACTTGCCGACACTTCTTTTCAAAAGGATGACAGTTCAGCGAACGAGGAAGTAACATTTGTTGTGCAAGAAAGTGAATTCACACTGTCAAAAGATGTTTTAAAAGCAAAATCAGCTCTGTTTGCAGAACTGTTCATTCAGAAACCTAGTAGTCGTTACATTTTGACTAAAGTTAAACCAAAAGTGTTTTCAACGGTATTTGAATTTATTAAAACAAGCAAAATCAGTAGTGAACTGAGTGAAGATGCTGCGGAAATATTAGAAACGGCTCATAAAGTATACTTTGTTGCATTTTAAAATAGTTGATTATTAAAAATTTTATTTTTTAGCTTGAAATTAGTAGTCTTAAAGACATTTCCGAAGACTATTTGGCTAATAACTTGAGCAACGACAATGCGACCAGTGTTTTACTGTTAGCCGATCAAACTAACTGCAGGCAACTGAAACTGGCAGTTATGCAGTTTATTGCAAAGTAAGTTTTGGTTTAAAAAACTTGAATAATACTTTAATTAGTAACTTTCAGGCACTGTCCAAACTTGGNTGAAACTGGCAGTTATGCAGTTTATTGCAAAGTAAGTTTTGGTTTAAAAACTTGAATAATACTTTAATTAGTAACTTTCAGGCACTGTCCAAACTTGGTAGACTCGAATGAGTTCCAGCGCATTGTACAACATCGACCCAAATTAGGATTGGAGTTATTTAAGTTTGTGCAAAATTGCTTGCAATAAAAAGGAGATTCTTTTACACGTTTACTTACACATCATTATTTTTTATCCCTCCACTTTCTTCGATCAAACAATTCGCATCAAAAGACGTGCTGAGAACCTGTGGTCCAGTGCCCAATTTGGTACTGATGACGTACTTTAATGCACCTGGGCAAGCATTTACTACAGCGTATTTTTGTAGCGAATCATTCAGCTCCGGGTGCTTCTTGTACTCAATTCCTTGCACTTCAAGTTTGCTTTCTGATTTTCCGTAAATGGCAGTAATGAGAGCCAGTAGCTCCGGAACGACGTTTTCGAGAACGTAGAGACAGGCATTCGGACCGGCGTCAAAGGTGTAGGCGACCTTGTTGCACCCGTAGAGCTTATTGAAGTAATGCACCAGGCTGACGACCGACCAGGAAACGTCATTCATGTAATGAATCGGCGGATAGGTGTCCTGACAAATGGCATGAAACTGATTCGAGTCTCTCATGGTGATCTCCGCAAAGTCGTGAAAGTTTCGCTCTTTGATGGCAGTCAACATTTGTGTAATCCGTTGAGGTACGATGTCCTGCACTCGCTTCTTCATCAAGTCACTTGTCTCCACACTTGACTTCATGCCCGATGAGCTGGAGGTGTCTTTGCGGTGGTCACTGACCACCAGTACGAGGACACGCATCGACGGCCATGCCTCCTCGTCCAGTATCTGCCGGGCAATGGAGCTCTGGTGGTCAGTGCCGGCGACCCACTGGACGAAGCCACCGTACACGGAGCGACAAGCAGAGCCAGAGCCAAGACGGGCTAGTGTGGAGATGCGCTCAGCATCGTCAACTCCAAACAGACGGCAAAGGGCGTACATCAAACAGGCGTAACCGGCGGCGGAAGAGGCTAGTCCGGCGGCTGTTGGAAAGTTGTTGCGGGAGGCTATTTGCAGATGGTGATCAGCCGGCCATTGGCTAGTGCCCACCATAGTTTTCACTGAAAAAAGGGGTCTTAACTTTAAAACACTTTTTAACACGACATTACTTACCTTCTTGGATGCACCGAAAAAGTCGCTCATTTGCTGTCATGTCCACCTCTTCGCCATTGAGCCACATCTGATTGCACTTGAAGGAGGGACTGATGGCCACTGAAGTTGTGGCACAGAGCTGCTCCATATCGAGGGTGCCGCTGATCGAGTCATTCAGTGGAATGATTAGCTTTTCATCACGTTTGCCCCCTGAGATTAAGCAAATAGAAAAGTTAATCAGCTTTTGTAAAGTTGCAAAACTAATTTATTTCAGGTCATTTACAATACTTAATTACGGCGATATTCACTGGGGCCCGGACGGTGATGGTGCGTTTATCAGTGGACATTGTTGCTGTTTATTGGCTTCTTTATTTTTTTCAGTCAACGTCTGGCTACCACGTCTGTAGTCGGACACTAAACTAAACGAGTTTGCGGTCAGTTGTTGACCACAGAACCTAAAGTAGCAACTAGTTTTCAGGCGACAAGTGCAGAGGCAGGAATGTCCACGGCGAGTCTGCTAGAGGTGCTAGCAGCTACTGTGGATGAGGCAGTATGGAATCAGATTTCAGATGTTGCTACATGTTTAGTTCGGTCAATGAATACATTTTGCAAGGAATTGGTAATAAAGCGGGTTTATATTTAATTCGTGTCCTAATCTGTTGTCATATTTTATTTTGAAAACACAACTCTTGCCCTGTCTTCTGCGGACGGGCATAGTAATCAAAATCAAAACAAAAAAAGTTACGCCTCTGAAACAAAATCTTTAGACAAAACAAGTTGGCGAGTTTGATGCTGATGTCTTATTGTTTTACTTATCACCTGAACTGTCAATCACCTTCTTTAGTTACCTATAATCATTATTAGCACCACGAAAGACTGCCAGCAAATCTACCACCAGCTAAAGACGGTCACACTTTGAAAATCACAAGATGATCCTTTTCAAATCAATTCAATTGTCTTTACATCATCTACTGTATCCAAGCATACTGTTGATAAGTTTCATAATTCTTTCCACGGGACCAAATTCGGTCTCCTGTCAGTACGATGATGTCCGTTGCAAGTGCCTTTGTCCAATTGCATCGGTAGTAACAAATGAAACTAAATCAACTCGCAAGCTCTACATCGGCAATGTTCCTCCGAATCAATGCAACTGCGACTTTGTGGTGCTACCCCAGTTGACTGTTGAAGTTCAAGGAAAAGCCAAAGAATTTTGTCCTCGATGTGAATGTAAATACGAAAGTCGAAACACGGCAATCATTCGCTTCTTCGTGATCTTCATCATTGGCATCATATCCTTTTTGGTTGTCTACATGATCTTCCTAAGTCTACTCGATCCTTGGATTCATAAACGTAAGTTCAATTGTTTTTTGCTGTACAACAGGACTGATGTTATAAATATATTTGTAGGCTCAATTCGCAGCAACTACCAACAACAAATAAATGAAGAAGTCTCTTTACGTGAGCAAAATGTTCCAGCTAGCACAAGCGATCTTGGATTACAAACGCGTAGACGTTTACCCGCTTCGCCGTAAGTAACTTTAAATACAAGTACTCATTTAGCACTGATTAAAATTTTGATCTAAAAATAGACTTCACGAACCCGAGGAAACAACGCCTAAGGGTGTTTTGAATCGCGTACAACACACCCAATCAAAATGGAAGCGTCAAGTAAAAGAGCAACGAAAGAATATTTACGATGATCATTCAATGCTCAACTAAATAATCGTCAACAAAACTTATGTGTGATCCTCAACAACTACTTTGTGGTTTAATTATTTTCATTGTACATTTCATTTATCAATCGTCCTACCGAATGCGCCAGGTTTTATCAATTTCAGCTTGACAATGTTAACTTTAAAAATGAAACTTTTGTTTACAATTAAAAATTTGGAAGCAATGGCTTTTGCCTTTTACATTTCCTCTTCCTCATCGCTTAGTTCTTCGATAGTTAAACCACTTTGATGGACATCTTCGGTATCATTCAAGTCCGGAGCACTAGCTTTCTCTGAAACTTCAAAATGCTTGGCAATAATTGGCTGACAGTGCAGCTCGACATCTCGCTGTCGCTGTACGAGTTCCTCGACTTCTACTTCAGCTGAGCTACTTTCCAGCCACTGGGTAGTGTCATCAAGAATGTTTGCAATAGCAATGCGATCTTTGGAAGGCAGCTGACACGAATCGATCGTTTGGCGAAACTGATCAAGACAGCACCTCAGCTGTGTCTCTGCTTTTCTCTTTTCACCAAACCGTTTGTCCTGTTGTCGTTTCACCTCTGCCTCACTGCTCATTCTCTCCACATCTGCTGGAGTCAGCCTGTAGGAGTCAGGACTTTGGATGGTAATTGCGCTGCCCTTTCCAGAGTTCCTCTCTACGGCGGAGACTTTGAGTATGCCGTTGGCATCCACCTCAAAGGTGACTTCAATCTGCGGCACTCTGGCCGGCGCGGCTGGAAAGCCACTCAGCTGAAAGCGACCCAGAAGGCTGTTCTCCCGGACCAGTGTTGATTCGCCCTCGTACACCTGAACGAGCACTGTCGTCTGGCCGTCGACCGTTGTGGAGAAGACCTTCATCTCTGAAGTTGGAATGGTCGTGTTTCGCTTAATCAGCGTCGTCATTTGGCCGCCAGCGGTGGCGATTCCCAGTGAAATGGGACACACATCGAGTAGAAGCATGTCTTGATGGGCCACCACCTGATCACCGTTCAGAACGGAAGCCTGCACTGCCGCTCCATATGCAATTGCTTCATCGGGATTAATTGAACAGTTCAGCTGTTTGCCGCCAAAGTAGTCACTTAAAATGGTGCGAATTCGGGGGATTCTAGTTGAGCCACCGACGATGACGATGTCAGCAATTTCCGAACTGTCAAGACCAGCGTCTGCCAATGCCTGCTCTACGGGAACTAAAGTCTTTTCAAAGAGTGGCTCGCAAAGGCTTTCAAACTCGGTCCGGCTGATGGTGCCCTCCAAATCGGCACCGTCCACTTCGACGGCAACGGTGGCCACAAGTTCACTGGAAAGAATTCGTTTCGCCTTTTCACACGACTTTCGCAGCAGGGTAAGTGCCCCTTTGTCCCTCTTCAAGTCCTTGTTGTACTTTTGCTTGAACATTTCAATGAACCGCTTCACTAGCAAATTGTCAAAGTCCTCCCCACCGAGCCGAGTGTCCCCACAGGTGGCCTTCACTTCGAAGATGCCATCATCAATGGAAAGTACGGAGACATCAAAAGTACCGCCGCCCAAGTCGAAGATGAGCACGTTCTTTTCGCCGACTGACTTCTTGTCCAGTCCATAGGCAATGGCCGCTGCTGTTGGTTCGTTGATAATCCGCAACACGTTTAGCCCAGCAATGATGCCAGCATTTTTGGTTGCCTGTCGCTAAAAATTTTTAGTTTGCAAAAAGTAAATTATTAAGAATAAAACTTTGATGACCGGTCAGCACATACAGCACTGTCGGAGAAGAAGGCAGGTACGGTGATGACGGCGTTTTTTACTTCACATTCAAGATACGTTTCAGCTATATCTTTCATTTTGCCAAGAATAATAGCGGAGATTTCTTCGGGAGAAAATGTTTTAATCTGACCATCTTCTTCGACCTGTGATTCATATGATAAAGTAGAAGTTATTGAAAAAGCACCATTAAAATTCTCAAAAACCCACCTCAATTTTGGGCACGCCACCCTTGTTGACGACGGTAAATGGGAAGTGCTTCAACTCCTCTTCCAGTTCTTCAAACCTTCGTCCAATCAGCCGTTTAGCGTCGAAAACGGTGTTGTTTGGATTGAGTGTCGCCTGTGCCTTGGCACTTTCTCCCACCAACCGTCCATTGGCTGTAAAGGCAACGTAGGACGGAGTGGTGTTGCCAAGGTCGCTGGGCACAATGTCTATTATTGAATACTGGTTGTAGACGGCCACACAGGAGTACGTTGTACCGAGATCAATGCCGATAGCATAACTTTTTGGCATTTTCAGGTTTATTTTTATTAAAAGCACAAAATACTGCTCACCGTTTTCTGGCCTGTTGGTAATCCAATCTTAATCTCATTGCCCTTATCATCAAGGTACTGTACTTTCTAAGAATTTCTCTAACTTTTGCTCCCAACACTGGAGGTTGGTATCTGCGCAACAATCACATTGAGTAGAGTTAGATTGCTAGATAAAATATACAAGTATCCTATTTTTGTATAGTGTTGGGAAAGCTGATTTTGTAATTTATGGTATTTTTCTATTAGGAGAAAAATCCTTTACATCAGATTTGTAAGCGAACCCTTGGAAGCATCTGATGCATAAACGGATGCAATGACAGTAATCGGGCATGTTAGCTGAAGGGCAAACATTTCAGTTTGCAGGATGACATTTTAAGAGATATTGACTGTTTGTCTGGAAGCACTGTCTGCTTCAAGGCCCGATGATCGTTTCGCCTGTATGCACTATTTAGTAGAAAACGAGTTTAAAACTTCAGTACATATGTAATAGTAGGCTAATTAGTGTTGTACTAACAGTATAAACATTACTTTAAAGTCTAGTAATAATAATGGTAAAGTTCTCTAAAGATGATTCAGCAAATGAAACGCTGAGCAAACTTTTTGAAATACTTTTGTTTGTGTTACTCTTTTTTCAACTAGGCGAAACGTGTTGCTTCTCTACGCTGCCATTTGTTCACATTGCCAGCAAGCGACAGCGACAATGACTCTTCTCGGCTCCTACGACCCGGATTTGATGCTTTTCAATGGCAACCCAATGACAGAGGACATCGTGGAATTACTACAAATCGACATTCACAGCCACTGGCTGAAGACACATGGCAAGGCTCGACTCTTCTCCTACTTTGACTATCTCTACAGTGATTTAGATCACCGAAGAAGCGTCAGCAGTGAGTTGGCAATCCTCTTGCTGTTTCTCCTCATTCTCATGGCAACCGTGATCACTCACTTACTGCCACTGCTGCACACTTGGGCAAATAACTATCAACGTATGCGGGAAGAGACCAACGAAACATCAGACGATGTGCTGACCATTCGCAATCAGCACCTTCAAAATCGTATGGCCAACTTGACGGACAATCAACCACGACGACGACTTGTTGAGAATGAAGAGAATGAATAGATTGTGATAAGATCTGCTTAATTAAACTTGTTTACCTTTTAACTGTAAAAGATGTTTGCCACTGGGCTTTAATCAGACGGTGAAATAGACAAAGACACTGAAGGGTGAATGTTTGAAACCGCGGCTGGACCATAGAGGGAACTTTTTCGAGATACAAAGGGGGATATGACTATAAAGATGACTACGAAAATGGTACAAATGGAACACATGTGAATGAGAATGAACAGCCAGTCAACATCGCTGTTATTGGGCCTTTTCGAAGATGTCATTTCCTGTGATTTTACAGCGCCGATTCCGTAGAGAACAATGGTACGCTTTTCAAGTTGATCCTTTAGCTGCCTTGCAAGAGTATCATTGTGATCTTGGTGAAAAACATCTTTCGTTTTCATTTCATACTTTAGCTTAGAATGATCTGTTTTCATGTGATTATCCTTTTGTTTGATCTAAAAAAACAACTTTTAACTTTTAACAGTTATTGTGTGGCATACATACCTTATTATTGTTCTTTACACGAGATAACTTTGCTCTCGTTGACATCTTCGCATGTTCATCAGGTTTCGGCGGAACAATTTCAAGTGGCTGTTCAATGTAGTCTTCTTCATCGTCATCCACCGAGTCTGGTGGGACGATTTTAAGTGGTTCTAGCGCCTCATCGTCTTCTGCCATGCTAATCTTTGATCCTCCAAAAGTTTGTACTTGAAGTTTATTGCCTAGAGCAAGTAAAGTGATAGTTACAATTAATTGCCACAAAAGATGCATGAAAGTTTTTTATTTGAAAGTCAGACAAAAGCTACTGGGGAAAGTATCAAACAATTTGTTTTGTTTTGTGACAATGTCATTTTACGTAAAGTTGTTAGTTTAAAATAGAACTTACTTTCGATTACGCGTTACTAATTTGAGGTCATTGAAGTGGAGAACAGAGGTTGCGCTCAGGTAGGGTAGACTTTGAGAGACCAGTTCTCTTTTTTGAACAATTGTCATTGTTGCCGCCAATTACAGTGCCCATTTTGGGTCGACAGCGCACGCAAGTCTCCATCTTTTACAGTACCGCAGCGAAAGGTACATCCTTACGTTTGCGTTCAGCCCAAAATCGTCCCTCTACAGGTGATGTCAACAAACTTGAATGCATTGTCCAACTGATCGAACTGTCTCACATCCAACATTGAAGAAGATTGTATTTAAATTGATTCTCCATTGTCGCCCTCTAGCCGGCGTCTGCACGCCATGGCCGACCTTCTGTCGTGCTCAGACTGCGTCTGCTTCCAAGTGCAGCCAAAGACGGTGTGCTTCTTCTGGTGTTGTTGAACCCAAAGGAGTGTTGGTCAACAGTGCTGATTCAGCAGTCATCTGTTCACGCAACTAGACTGCTCGTATTCTTCTCTCCTTATCACCTTTACCAGCAACCATCTTTGACAGCATTTCAGTTTGAGAATCACAACAGCCATTCCATTCCCAACCCGATCATGGCGCCGCCCATCACCTTTAGACTAAGTTTGGTTCGCCAGTAAGTTTCCCCCGTTCCTCGTTAATGTTCATTAATCTTCACCTTATAGTGGTCAGACCGCCTTCAATGCCTCCAACGTATTGCAAGGGCAAATTGACACTCCGATCAGCGAGGCCGGGAAGGAGGAAGCCATGCTCTTCGGACAGTCACTTGTTCCCAACTCGTACCAAATCATCTACTCGTCATCACTCAGCCGAGCCTACGACACCGCCAAACAGATTGCCGTCTTCTCTGGTCATACTGGAGTGGAGATACAGAAGCATGCTCTCCTCATTGAGCGCTCATATGGCTCGATGGAGGGCATGTCACGAGAGGTACTTCGAGCTTTGGCACTGGCTAAAGGCATAACCACAATGCAGTTCACTCCAGTTGACGGAGAGTCAATGGAGCAAGTAACAGCTCGCATTATTGACTTTCTGCAAAGCCACCTCTTTCCGGACGTAAATAGGAGAAGCGCTGTGACCAACTTTGAAGTTATTCCCAGTGTGCTCATCGTCACTCATGGCGCCATCATTCGACTCTTCATTGCCTACCTTGCATCATTTGGCGATATCAACTTCCCAGCCCCGCCTGATGCTAGTCCGCCCTTCACTGCTGTCAGCGAATTTGAATTGACATTTGACACAACAAACACCATCTCTCAATGTCAGTGGCAAATAATCAACGTCAAATGCCTCCGTCTGTACGACACTTCTCACCTGAATGTGTAGCTCACCAGTACCTGTTTCACTGTCGCCATCATTTACTTCATACACCAAGATAAGATAAACAGTTATCATTTGAGGCGCACAAGAAAAACTTTTTTATATCCGAATTAAACTTTATTTTGCTTCTGATGTTTTAAAGTGTAGTGCCGGAGAAAGTACAAAAAATCCTTTCCAGTGATAATCTCCGTTGCCAGCGTAGCTGGTAGATTAAGATGGTATGTTGATTAGTGCACATAACAGTGCTGCACCTTAGACTCTCGCTCTCTCTCTCT